CCCCTAAACGGGTGCAAGTTGTAAGGATTTTTTGCAAAATTTATGGATGTTTAGGGCTCTTTAAACAGGTAAACGTCCAAAGAGGTTCAAATGTATGCGAACTGGACCGAACTTCAGTCAAACAAGACCCAACACTTTTACTCCTGATTCAAACTAGCGATCATGTGAGCAGCTGCAGCTGTATGCTTTTATTTTTTTCTGTCAGGCTGTCGGAGCGTTCCTCCTCCTCTGTCCGAGGCTGGTGTGGGGTGAAAATCCTCCACATCAGACCGTTTAGAGATGTAGCCATCTGCGATACTGTGGTCACTCTCCATGTAGCATCAATTATGCTAATGCTAGCTGCCTGTCACATTCTCTCCTCCTGGCCACATCTCCGCTCTGTAACCCCCACTCCCCTACCCACTTTGATGCATTTTTCAAATTTTGCCTTGAGGCGGAGTTATCTTTTTATTGGGGGGTAAGATACACTTTAAATAGCAATTTTAGTTATCTGTACTTTACTTGCCTAATTATTTTTCAGCATACTTTTTACTTTTACTTATTACACTTTTACACAATTATCTGTACTTTCTACTCACTACATTTTTCAAAAAAAGGTAAGTAGAAAGTCGTTTCTTCTATTTTATTATGAGTTGTTATTGTTTAAAAAGATAAAATACTATCTTGATAAATTGTGTCTCCTGGATAGAGTGAATTTAATTGTGATTGGATTAGAAGTATGTATAAGTATCTACCATTCTGACATCATATTAGCTTGTACATAACCCATCACAGCTGCACGCTGTTAAAAAAAATGTTTTTTGGAGAAGTCACCTCCCAATAAATGTCATTTTGGAAAATCTACCTGCTCACTTTTACTCAATACTTTTACTTTTAATACTTAATTTTGTGTCAGAAATGTACTTCTGATACTTAAGTACAAAAAATATCAGATACTTTAAGACTTTTACTCAAGTAATATTCTTAGAGTAGACTTTAACTTTTTTATTTTTATGATAAGATACTTGTACTTTTACTCAAGTATCACTTTGTGGCACTTTATACAACACTGCATTTTGGTAGAAGTACCCACACAGCAGCCTGATCAAATCATAAACTGTACAGTTTATCTTAATATAACTCTGTTGTAATATTCTTTAAGTTTGTAATCTATGGTGATCTGATTAATTTATGTATTGATCAAGAATGCACAAAACTTTAAGATTATTCCCCTATATGTCCTCTGAAGTGTCAGGCATCCACGAGGTAACTTTTTACTAAAGCACGTGTTAATTGTAACGTAACAAAGTGCCTAAAGCCTCTGTGCATGTCGATAATTTCAGTGTTCATTTTCTGTTGTTTTGCTCCTCAGCACGGCTTCCTAAAAACGCTGCAGGTTTTCTCAAACATGCATGAATGAGTCAAAG